TGGTGAGAGGCGGGGAGGATCATAGACCACAACGTCTCATCATCGTCACTGGACTTTGGTTCGTTATCGAAGCTGAATCGATGCTTACCCACAGATGTCAACAAATGCATATGTGGGTGGTCTTGAGCGAAGGCATTGACCCATTCTTGTGTTTACAACAGACTAATTTACAAATAAATGAATTATAAATTAGAAACGGTAAATTAGAAACATTGGCTGATGCCATAAACAACCTTATGGAGGGAGTCAGCTGGTCAGGAACTGCATTGAAAAGTTCAGTTAGGGATCTCAGACTAAATCGTCCTACATGCCTGCCATTATGGAATCATATACGGTTCCTAGACATCGCTTGTAAGGGTTTCGAGCCGATCCATGCAAATGAGACCATTTGTTTCTAGAAAACACGGCACTTGTTTGCATAGCGTGTTTTCCTTTTGTGTTTTTTAACAACTTGCATCAAAGATCGCAGCCTTGGTCGTTGAGCCTCTTCAAGGGGAGCCCGCTATTATAGGCTTGAATTAGGGGGTTTATATTCACACCCATGTCGAGTTATATTGAACTTCACGAAACTTTTATGTTTGAACTGATGAACTTGAAGATGGAGCTTTAACCCTTTGGCGACATTGCGGGTCGATGTTGGGACGCACTTTTTTTGCCACGACGGACAATGCGGGTCGATGTTGGGATGCAGCATAAAAAAACTTCACAGCGCATGTTCCAAGTTTCTAGTAATCACACCTTGCTCAGCAGGCTTCGTGTCACCTATAGACACCTTGGTCCGGCGCCAGCGCCATTTGGCGCCATGTTGGCGCCACATGGCGCCACGCCCTTTTTCCACCAATTACGCTGTAAACTTGGGAACAGGGGTAATCGGTGGTCCTGAGCATGAAAATGGCAGTCCGTTTCTTTAGGCACCGCGCCATGTGGCGCTAAGATGGCGCCACGTGGCGCCACGCCCTTATTTGCCACCAATTACGCTGTAAACTTGGGAACAGGGGTAATCGGTGGTCCTGAGCCTGAAAATAGCTTCCGTTTTCTGGCGCAGCCGCCAATTGGCGCCAAGAAATAGATGCTATATCTGTGTTTAGGACCGCCGATTACCCCTGTTACCAAGTTTTCCAGCGTAATTGATGACAAAAATGCCGTGGCGCCATGTGGCGCCAACTTCACGCCAAATGGCGCGCGGCGCCAAAAAAGATGCCATTTTCATGCTTAGGACCACCGATTACCCCTGTTCCCGAGTTTACAGCGAAATTGGAGGCGAAACAGGTTTTGGCGCCAGTTGGCGCCAATTGGCGCCACCTGACGCCAGCGCTGAAAACTACTGCTATATTCATGTTCAGCACCCTTGAATACCCCTCTAGTGAAGTTTCGTCTCTGATGAATTTTCACGACCACTGAGGTTATGTTAGTCAAAAAGACTGTCATCTTGGACAATGCGTCCCAACGTCGACCCGCAAAGAAAAATGCGCGCGGTCCCACATGGCAGACACGCGAAAAATGGCATTGTCGCCAGCGTGTTAATATCCGCATCACCCTCATCGCTTTTCGTCCATTTCGCAATGTTTTTTTTTTTTCATAGATCACTGTAATGTCGGTTAGTATTAAAACGTCACTTACTGGATTCAAATTTTTCAGGGTTGACGCTGAAGGTTTTTTGAACTGGTCTCTTTTCGTCCTACTTAGCAGCGCTTTTTCGTCTTCAGTGTTTTTTTTAAATAAGGAATAAGATTTCTAATTATGACAAACTATTGGATCGAGGGATGAGCTCAGTTGATGATGGAGATCATTTTACATTTTTTGAATTTAAAGGGGAGGGATGGAGCAGTTGTGCGTCATTTGTAGCCTTGAACTTCTTTCTTGGGCGACCATTATGATAGGAACGAATTAACCGTTCACCAATAGATTCTCTTGGGCAGCAGAGTCGAGGCAACTTGCATTACATTAAAACGTCATTTGTTAGTGGTTTTAGTAAGTTTTACTAACGCATTTGTGTTGCAGAGCACTTTCAAAGTCGGGGATTTTTTTCCAGCTTCTAGTCGCAGGTCGCTCTCGGCCGATCAACCGCGAGAACAACCATCAGCATACTGCCCATTAGATGATATCCATCAGTTGACCCTTGACCGATTATCCTTTGAGGTAGGATCTTCGAATTCCTAATGAATAAGAAGAGCCGAGCTCAAAAAATGGGCTACGGAAAGTCTCAAAAATTTCTCTCCAACCACAGCAGGAGTTCTTTTCCATTCAGCACGTATAGCGCCTCTCACTCATTAGCCGAGTCGGTCTTCGGGTCTCTCTCGCTCTGTGAATTCGTGTCGTTAGTGACTGGGAGAATGAAAGCGAAACCCATGTTACAAGCTAGTACCACAAAACCTACGGTGATTGGTGAAAATGGGAAATTTGAAAAATAGTTTAAGAGAAAGCTATGAGATAGAGGAAAAGCCGTGGTTATATGCCGTGCCTGTGAAAGGCCGATCGCACAAAGAAACTGTCGTTTCGTTCAAATGGCCGTCGTTGATGACCCGTTTATCGATTGCTAAATTTCGTTTGATAGATTGAATGTATTTTGCTTCATTTTGTTGTTCCCGGCTGAATACGAAACTACAATAAAATATTGATGGTAAAATTGAAAGGATCGCTCAATGGAAGCTAGCAGGAAGTGAACCGCCACCATTTAGTGGTCCTATTGTGCTCGATTCATCGATTCTCTCATGATTCCAATGAGTCTTAATCAGGTTGACCCCTGTGTTTGGTAGATGCCACAGCGGCTCACCATCAATTGTGGAATGACCACCCAGGAATGAGATCGGCATGGTGAATTTTCTACCACGTTTCGTTTCCTTAGGAGACGGTCGCGCTGGGTCAGAAGCAGGGTGAATTTCGGTCGAGGTTCTTCAAGGCTTGTCGAATATCAAATTTTCCCCTTCGTATAACTTACGCCCTCCAGCCGGCGGGGCATTCATATATTCGCCATGCGCCGAGCCGTACTTGTGCTACTCGCGGTATGTTCACTCTCGGCATACTCTGCACAGTACAGAGTCATGGTCAAAGAATTCTTGGACCGCTATTCACCCTGGTCAGTAGAAAAGTAGAAAGGGAAGTACTTATTATGGAAAGGGCCGAGTTAGAAGCTGGCTTGGGCGAACGCATGGAAGATGTGACACTATAAGATAGGAAGATACGGCTGCTTGGTATGATATGCAAATGAAAATCGGACGGTAATAACTTTATCAAATCGAGTGCGCTGCCGTTGTCACTTTCCAGGTCTGAAATGGGGGGAGGGGGTGGGCAAGGAGCTCTATATGCTGAAGAGCTCGTTTCCCGCGCCGTCCACATGGTCAAGAAAACGCCAGTGCCCTGGAGGCGGCACCTGTTCACGCAATGGGTAGGTTCTCCTACCGATTCATTTATGAGGTCTCTCAATTCCTTCCCACGTACTTTCAGGTGGGCCTCCTGAGGGGGGGGTGCTGACCGACGCGCAATTGGCAGCGAAAGATTTGACCTCGGCGATCTAGCATGGCTCACTCTTGGCGCGGTTGGCGGGGTACGCCCACCGACTATCTAATCACTCGCCGCAGGTCTATACGTGGCGAGTGATTAGATAGCAGAGAGAGCGTAGTGTTGAAGAGGGCACAGCGATGAGAGTCGCATCAATGCGCAAATCAACGGGCAAGGAAGAGGTCCCATTTCTCGGGTTCGGGCTGCTTCGAAATGATTTCTTCTTCATCCTACTCCGCTCACCTTCTCTACCCCAATTTCCAATGAGCTAACTTTTCACCAAAAATTCTGCCTTCAAATACAAGCGGAATTTGGAATTTTTTAAAGCGGAATCCGAATGCGTGAAGTGCGGCAAGTGGACTTGTCACCGCAAAGATTCTTCCCATTCGACTCTTTTGAAATGCAATAATCTCACTAATTGGTCTTTAAAAATGGGCTGGAAGTGAGTAGACACTATTAGATTTGAATAGTTGGATTTCTTGCCACTTTCCCAAGAGTGTACTTTGACCAGAACGAAAAAGGTTATATGGTCTTCCACATTTTGGCCACAAACCTTTACTTGTAGTTTTCATTCCAAGTTCCCTACTCCTACCTTTGACTTGATAGCCAGCAGTAGTTGGCCATTCACACGGTTATAGCGTACAAACAATAAGTAAAGTAAATAAATAATATACACCGTTGAATAAATAAATAAATAAGTTAAATATGTATGTAACGATGTATCGTGTTCTTTTTACTGTAGATACTTGAACAATTGTAACTACTGTAATTTAAGATTGACCTATGATGGCCCTATTGCCAAAATATTGTGAAAGCGTAGAGTTACAAGGACAGTCTGTTTAAATACAAAATATATGAAATAAATAAATAAATAAATAAATAAATAAATAAATAATAAATTGATAAATAAACTAAAGAAATAAATAAACATAATGGCGTTTCCGCTGCTGATTCTGACTGATTCTGTTTTTTTTTTTTTTTTGCGATTTTTCCATTGATTCGATAAACAACTGAACAGATCAGAAAACAGTTTAACATCACAAATCATAGTGTACAACAAGGATTATTCAAGAGAACGAAAATCACAGACAGAATGATAAGCGAGGCGATTTGGCAAGACGAAATGCCATCGATTGATTAAAGGCGAAATACCCTGAGTGAGAATGAATGCCAAAATAGACAGTGAGACAATGAACCGGAGAAATCATATAATGACCAGAGCCCTTATAAAAAAATGTGACGCCGGAGAACACCCAATCGGCGAAGCCGAGGCGCCTCATACTAAGGATGAATTGGTTCTACGCGTAATATGAGCAAAAAGAAATGCAATGAATGCCAAAATAGACAGTGAGACAATGAAAGTGAACTGCATGAGCGGTGGTGAGAAAGATTAGAAGTGAAGAAGGCAAAGATCGATGTGTAATCAGTAATCAAAACACAATGTGGTAAACAACAACAAACAATTATCTACAAAACACTCGACAATCACATAGCAGTTTCTATCACGGGTTTTGTGGTCCTGAATCCGTTATTGGGAATAGGTCTTCTGTACTGGTCTGTGAGGGGGTTTGTGGAGGAGATCTACCAAAGACCGTTGAGGAGCAGCTCGCAGGTTCTGCAAGGGAGTGGACGGCGTCGGAACAGGCACCGGTCGGTACTGTTCCGGTCGGTTGTTGGCGGAGAAGCTCTGCAGATTGGGATTCGAGCGACTCGGTGCCAGACGTGGTTGCTTGTGGCTCGTAGCGACGTGGAGGTTCCGGCTTCGGTGGCAGGAGTCGCCGGTTCTGTACAGTGCTTTCCGAGACCGTTGACGACTGTTCGCTCCATGAGCCGTCTGTCAACGTAGAGTCTCGCTCTGAAAATGTATGACATTCTAAGTTTAGGAGAATGAAACAACTAATTTTGCTTCAGAGGCCACCACTTTTGTTGAAGGCATATTCCACTAAATCTGTGGATCTTGGGGTAGAAATATGAAGGAATAGATGTTACGTGACCCTACAGTGAAGAAAGAAGGAAAAAATAACTGTCGAAACCGCCACGATAAGGCACCCCTCTTAAGCGATCTATAGCACTGCATGGGATTACAACACAAAAGAAAGGGCGTGTAGAGGTAAGAGACACCGACAACGAGGGCACAAGAGAGCATAGGGGCGATGGGAGACGCAGGCAGAGCGGAGCTGCTAGGAGTCTGAATTCTATCACGATAGCGTCCTTAAGCTTACTACAATATTTGGCTATAGTTCTTGCAGCGATCCAAACTGAAGAGCTAAGAATTCTTAGCTCTTCTCATGATAGCTTCAACCCCAAAACTCCAGCAAAGCGTCAAGTGGGAAGGGGGTGGGGAGGGGAAAGAGTGATATGTGAAGAATTTCCAGGTCCAAAGGTCGGCTTTGCATGGAGGCGTTGTTCCCTGAACCCGTTTCAAGTATACTTGCTACAAAAATAGCCTCCTCAGGCCTTCTTCCCTTTTCACTGGCTTGGGATAGTGCACTAATTGTAAGGTAATCAGGAAGTGCCTTTCAGATTGTATGGGTCTGCTTTTTCCTTCTCTACAGATTACCCGATCTTCGACAAACAAAATAGCACTTATTGAGGTCATGCATGCAGAACGAACCTGACTCCGTAGGACATGTGGAACATGGGCCGGTGACGGTGGACGAGCACGACGTGTCGCTGCGCCGGTCTCGCAAATGCACAGCATCACGCGGTGGAGGCTGGAAGGTGTTCATCGTGGGAATTTCCTCGTAGGGGTTCGGATTCGATGAAACCTTATGTCTGAAAAAAAAAAACGAATTTGAGACTTATATGAAAATTTGAATTGAAAGTTACGCCTCTGCTCTTAGCAACTCAAGCCAAGGGAAGAGAGAAAACTAAGAATTCTGTACCTCATTGACATTCTACCACTGTA